ACTTCATCTCACCTACTTTGGTCATGTTGTCAGAAGGGACCATTCCCTGGAGAAGGATGTCATGCTTGGTAAGGTGGAGGGTTGACAAAAGAGGGAAGGCCTTCAATGAGATGGATTGACACAAGGGCTGCAACAATGGGCTCGAGTATAGAAGGATCATGGAGCTGGTGCAGGATTGGGCAGTGTTTTGTTCTGCTGTGCATGGGGTTGTTATGAGTTGGAAATGACTCAACGGCACCTAACAACAACAATAGCAACAACAGAGAACCAAGACAGGCTACAGTGAATAATTCTGCTTTGAACATTCACACACAAGTTTTTGTGTGGACACATGCTTTCATCTCTCTTGGGTGTATATCTAGAAGTGATATTGCTTGATCATATGGTTTAATCATTTGAGGAACTGACAAGCTATTTTCCAAAGTGGTTGTAACCATTTTACAATCTCAACAGCAATGTTATTTTTCCACACCCTTACCAACACTTGCTGTTGTCTGTCTTTTTTGATTATAGCCATTCTAGTAGGGATGAAATAGTATCTCACTGGCTTTTGATTCACACCTAATGATGCTGATATATTTTCATGTCTTTATTGACCATGTGTGTGTCTCTGTGGAGAAATGTCCATTTTTTAATTAGATTGCCTATTTAGACAATTAGGAGCTCTGGTAGCATAGTGCCTAAAGCACTTGACTGCTAACCAGAAGGCTGGTGGTTCAAACCCACCAGCCTCTCCTCGGAAGGAAAGTTGGGCAATCTACTTCCATAGTGATACTGCCTCGGAAACCCAAGGAGGGGTCGCTATGAGTCAGGTCTGACTCAACGGAACATAACACACACATTTAGACAATTAGATTGTTGAGTTGTAAATTTTTTATATGTTCTATTTATACATTAGTTGTTTGTCTAATATTTGAGAGCTCTGGTGGTGTAGTGCTTAAGGCATTTGACTGGTAACCAGAAGACTGGCAGTTCAAAGCCACCAGCCTCTCCTTGGAAGGAAGGTTGGGCAATCTACTTCCGTAGATATACTGGAAATCCAAAGAGGTGTCACTATGAGTTGTTACATATATTTTCTTTCATTCTGTAAGTTGTGTTTTTCACTTTCTTGATAATGTCCTTTGAAGCACAAAAGTTTTTAATTTTGATGATCAATTTTTTCTTTGGTTGCTTGTGCTTTTGTTGTCATATCTAAAAATCTGATGCCTAATCCAAGGTTACAAAGATTTATTCCTCTCTTTTTTCCTAAGAGTTTTATAGTTTTAGCTCTTACGTTAGATCTTTGTTTTAGGTACTGTAAGGTAGGGAGGGTCCAACTTCATTCTTTTGCATGGGATAACGAGTTGTCCCAGACCATTTGTTGAATTTGTTGTTGTTTTCCCCAGTGGTGGTATTTGCTTTGCTTTATTTTTCTTTTATAATGAGGAAGGATGAAAAAGAAGTGAGGTCCCTCTCTTTAACTACAAAGACACATGCCATGGGTCCCTCTAACAGATCAAGTGTGACATTTGGTGCTCAGATTGCAAAGGAGAATAAGGCATGGTTCTTGGCCTCGGGGAGGTCACTCTTGTTACACAGGGATAGATACTGAAACCAATATGCAGTTTTCTTTCTGTGACATCAAAGGCTGACCCCATAAACCACCCTCTTCAAGTGGGAAAGATATCTTTAAAGAGTATTGTGCCCCGTGTTTCTACTCTATAGGAGACTTGGCGGGTCGTGCAGAACTGTTGGGTAAAACATCCCTGAAGATCTGGAACGTGACACGGAGAGACTCGGCTCTATATCGCTGTGAGGTTGTTGCTCGAAATGACCGCAAAGAAATTGATGAGATTGTCATCGAGTTAACTGTGCAAGGTAGGAGGGAAATCATGTGAATTTAAAGCATCTTTGCCTCTTCCAGGACTCATAAGCTTATCTATAGAATAAAAAAGGTCACCTCTTATTTTAATCTCCTTACTTCTAGAGCTCCAATCCCTCGGGTTATCATGAACCTTGGTGAGGGGAAGAGACTTGGGAGAGCTGAGACTGAGTTGGGGAGGAAGGGGAGAAGGGAAGTGGGGCTCCTTCCATTTTCCTCCAACAGGTATAGGAGGTACTTTAATATACTTTCAGTCTTCTCTACATCTCTTTCATGAAGGTGAAAAAAGTGAGAAATGTGTTGTGGGGTTACACTAGGGGTGGAATGAACAATAAGGACAGGATGGAGTGATGGTTGGGGGCATTCTACAGGTGTAGAATGTTCATGGGACAGCAGTAGTACAAGAGCCCTCTTCCAGTTCTTTTTTGGGAGCTGATATGTTACGGGCTTTGGTAAGACCAGAGCTATATTGCAGAGATGTTCAACACTGACTCATATTTTTCCCTACAGTGAAGCCAGTAACTCCTGTCTGCAGAGTCCCAAAGGCAGTGCCTGTGGGTAAGTCAGCCACACTGAACTGCCAGGAGAGTGAGGGCTCCCCCCGGCCTCACTACAGCTGGTATCGCAACAATGTGCCTCTGCCCACAGACTCCAGAGCCAACCCCAGATTTCGAAATTCTTCTTTTCTCTTAAACTCTGAAACAGGGAATCTGGTAAGATCTGTTCTAAGAGGTGAGGCTGTTGGGGCAAGGAATGCCTACTGTGGGAGAAAAACAGTGATCAGGAGAGACATTAAAACCTCTTTAGAAGATGGGTGCTGAAAATCTAGAATATTGGTAATAGCATAGAAAACTCCCCTTTTTTAAAACTAATAAATTCTAAGAGCTTAAGTAAAGGAGGGGGAGCCCGTAGATTAAGAGACTGAAGAGAGAGATTCAACACATGCAATGGGTGGATGTTGTTAGGGTCCTACTTTGAATGACCAACTGTAAAAATCATTATAAGACAGGGAAATTGACTGGTTGGATATTTTATGGATAAAATTACTGGTTGGATATTTTATGATATTAAAGCATCATTATGTTTTAGGCATAATGATGGTACTATGGGTATGATTTAAAAAAAAAAAAGTCCTTATCTTTTAGACATACATACTGAAGTATTTATGGATAAAATATGTCTGGAATTTGCTCTGAAATAATTGGGTGGTGGTGGGAAGTGGGTGGATGGAGTATAGCTGAAACGTGTGGTCATATGCAAAGGACAGACTGACATCACCAGCATTATTATACCAGGCTTTTTCTACACATCAGTCTTTAGAAGATGCTTTTGATCCATGATATATCCAGCTACATGTACAGAGGAGCCATGGAGTGTGAGGAGCTGTCATCAAGAGTCTCTTTACTTGAATAAAAGTAAAGATCAACATCTCATTTTGGATGTTGCTAAACTAGGTGCCATCAACTCAGTTCCAACTCATGGTGATTCATGAGCACATGATTAGAACAGTGCTCCACAGGATTTTCAATAGCTGATATTTCAGAAGTAGATTCACCAGGACTTTCTTCTGAGATACCGCTGGGTGGACTTGAACTGCCAACCTTTTGGTTAGCAGCCAAGGGAATTAATTGTTTGCACCACCCAGGGGCTCCCTGGATGTTGCTAGGCTTTGATATCTCCAAGTACCAAAGGAGGATGTCATTGTTATCAGGAAAGACAATCAGGAAGAACCTGGTCAATGACTGGAAACCAAAGGGAAACTAAGAAATGAGCAGACATTTTACCATGTTCCGGATTTAGCAAGTTCTGGGGTGGGATGTCAGCCTTTCCTGTCCCATCCCCTCAGAGTTTTTCCCTGCTGACTGGTCTATTTACTTGTGATTTCCTGATACAGGTTTTCAGTGCTGTTCACAAGGAAGATTCTGGGCAGTATTACTGTATTGCTTCAAATGATGCAGGCTCAGCCAGGTGTGAGGAACAGGAGATGGAAGTCTGTGAGTTATTTTTTTGTTTGTTCCCAAGACCTCTTTTTTGTTTGTTTATTTGTTAATATTTAACTTTACTTTCGGTGAAAATGTACACAATACCCATTCATATTCCTCTAATGATCAGTAATATTGATTACATTCTTCACTTTGTATCAGTATTCTCATTATTTCTGTCCTGTTTTACTTCCATTTACTTGAACTCCTTGCCACCAGCCTACTCATCTATGCTTTAAAATAGCTGTTGACTTTTTTGTTTTAATGCAGTACTCAAGTGTGACAATCTTAACTCTTTGGGTTAAACTGTTAATTTAACAGTGACTTCAGGGCATAGTTTCAATTTAGGATTTGAAGAGTAATTCAGGGTCATACTCTTGGGGACTCCTCTACCCTCAATATATCCAGGAAGTCTGGATTCTTTAAGAATCCGAAGTCTAGTCTGGTCTCAAGGTGGAAGAGGCAGTAGTTTATGGAGACAGTCTTGTAGTCCAGAGCCTTTTTTGATTCTTGGGTTCCCTTCTCTGTCTTTTGTTCCAGACAAATAAAGACCAATAGTTATATCTTGGACAGTTATAAGCTTCCCCCACCCCCATTTTTTTTTTTGCTTTTATTATAGTGAAAACATACACAACAAGACATTCACCAGCATAACAACTTCCCGATTTACAGTTCAGGGCCATTGATGACATGTTTCATGTTGTGCCATCATTGCTATCCTTTTCCAAAATATTCCACCACCATTATCATAAACCCAATGCCCTGCAAACAAAAGCTTCCCCTTTCCCCCCCTCCCTCCTACTCTTGGTAACCATTAATAATTTTTGGTTTCTATATGTGTGTTTTTTTCAACCTATCTAGGTATTATCCCTCCTCTCCCCACCCATCCCTGATAACCAACAAAGAAAGTTTCCTTCTATGTATAAACCTTTCCTTAACTTTTTACAATAGTGGACTAACACAGTATTTGTCCTTCTGTGATTGACTTATTTCACTCAGCATAATGTCCTCCAACTTCATCCACATTATACAGTGTTTTGCAGATTCTACATTATTTTTTAGGATTGCATAGTATTCCATTGTGTTTATGTATCACAGTTTATTTATCCATTCCTCATTTGATGAGCAGTTAAGTTGTTTCCATCTCTTTGCTATTGTCAATAGTGCTGCAGTGAACATGGGTGTGCATATATCTGTTTGTGTCCTCCCTCTCACTTCCTTAGGATATATACCTAGTAATGTGATTGCTGGATCAAATAGTATTTTCATTTCCAACTTTTTAAGGAATTACCATACCAATTTGCACAGTGGTTCTATCATTTTTCAGTCCCACCAGCAGTGTATGAGAGTCCCAGTCTCTCACATCCTCACCACCATTTATTTTCTGTCTTATTGAACTTTGCTATTAATGCTGGGATAAAATGATATCTCATGGTTGTTTTGATTTGCTTCTCTCTAATGACTAATGAGGAGCTCTGGTAGCATAGTGGCTAAGGCAATTGACTGCTAACCAGAAGGTTGGTGGTTCAAACCCAGCAGCCACTCCTTGGAAGGAAGATGGGGCAATCTACTTCCGTAGTGATACTGCCTCGGAAACCCAAGGAGGGGTCGCTATGAGTCGAGTCCGACTTGACGGCACATAACAACATTGTACAACAATGACTAATGATCGTGAACATTTCTTCATATGTTCATTGGCTGCTGGAATATTTTCTTTGGTGAAGTGTCTCTTCATATCTTCTGCCCATTTTTTAATTGGATTGTTTGTCTTTTTAATGTTGAGGTGCTAGAGATTTTTATAAATTTTAGATAAGTCCGTTGTTCGATAAGTCATTGCTGAGTATTTTTTTCCCATTTTGTAGGTTCTCTTTTTACCCTTTTGGAGAAGTCTTTTGATGCACATAAGAATAAAATTTTTAGAAGGTGCCAATCATCTAGTTTATCTTCTGCTGTTTGTGCATCTTGGGTTATGCTTGATAGTGTATTTATGATATAAATTAGGGCCCCTAAGTTTGCCCTCTTTTTTCTTTGATGAATTTTATAGTTTTTGGTTTCGCATTTAAGTCTTTGATCCATGTGGAGTTAGTTTTTGTGTATAATATGAGGTATGGATCTTGTTTCAGTTTTCTGCAAATGGATATCCAGTTTTGCCAGCACCATTTGTGAAAGAGACTATCTCTTTCCCATTTAATGGATTTTGGCCCTTTGTCAAAGATCAGCTAACCATAGGTTGATGGTTCTATTTCTGGGTTCTCAATTCTGATCCACTGATCTATGTGTCTGTCATTGTACCAATACCAGATTGTTTTTACAACTGTGACTGCATAGTAGGTTTTAAGATCTTGGAGTGTTAGACCTCCTACTTTGTTCTTTTTCAATAGTTTTCTGCTTCTCTGATATCTCCTTCATTTCCACATAAAATTAGGGAGCTCTCTGGTAGCGTAGTGCCTAAGGCACTTGACTGCTAACAGAAGGCTGGCGGTTCAAACCCACCAGCCACTCCTTGGAAGGAAGATGGGGTAGTCTACTTCCATAGTGATACTGCCTCAGAAACCCAAGGAGGGGTCGCTATGAGTCAGGTCCAACTCTAGGGTACATAACAACAACACAATAACAATGGCATAGTGCCTAAGGCATTTGACTGCTAACCAGAAGGCTTTGTCTCTTTCCTTTCTGTATAAAATTAGTGATGGGTTTTTCCATGTCTTTAAAGAATGTTGATGGAATATGGATTGAGATTGCATTGAAAGTATAGATTGTTTTGGGTAGTAGTGACATTTTCACAATGTTCAATCTTCCTATCCATGAGCGTGGTATGTTCTTCCATTTATGTAGATCTCTTACAGTTTCTGAAGTAGTGTCTTGTAGTTTTCTTTGCATAGGTCTTTTGTGTTCTTGATGAGATTTATTCCCAAGTATCTTATATTTTTGGGAGCTATTGTAAACGGTATTGATTTCCTTATTTTCTTTTAAGAGACCTCTTTGCCGGTGTAGAAGAATCCAACTGATTTTGTTTGTATCCCGCCATTATGCTCTATCTTTCAATAAGTTCCAGTAGTTTTCTTGCTGAGGCTCTTGGGTTTTCTGTTTATAGGATCATATCATCTGCAAATAGGGATAGTTTTACTTCTTTCTGTTCTGATTACCTAGTGCCACTCTGACAAGAGTATACTACAAATCAGATGCTTGAACAAACAGGAGTTTATTCTCTTACAGTCCGGGAGGCTAGAAGTCCAAGTTTAAAGTGCCAGACTCTAGGGTCTGTGTGAAAGTCCCTCGACCTTGGGCTTCAGCTCTGCCTCTTGCTCCCGGCCCACTGAAGCTAGAGGCATCTCTTCACTCAGGCAGCTACTGACTGCTGAGGCTAACAAGCCCAAGGTCAACAAATAAAATGGCACAGTCCCGATGTTACCAAACCACACAGTATGCCATTAATTGAAGTCTATCAAAAGTCCCAAGGTTGGCAGAACATGGTAGGCTGCTGAACAATGACAGGGCTACATGCAGGGTTCAAGTGTGCCATAAGCTAGAGACCATTCCCAAAGCTGTTTTTTATATACAGTAAATGGACCACATACCTAAAGCAGCTGCTCAGGTGCTCCATTAGATTCCACCATGGGGTTAATTACCAATCTCACCATGGGGAATAACTATTTTCAGTTGCCCAGCAACTCAACCAGGCACAGTCAAGTTGACACACAAATGTAACCACCACACTTACCAACTTGGATGCCTTTGATTTCCCTTTCTTGCCTTATTGCCCTGGCTAGAACTTCCAATACAGTGTTGAATAGAAATGGAGATAGAGGGCATCTTTCTGGTTCCTGTTCACAAGGGGAATAGTTTCAGTCTTTCTCCATTTATGTTGGCTGTTGGTTCTGCATATATTCCCTTTATTATGTTGAGGAATTTCCCTTCTATTCCTACTTTTCTGAGAGTTTTTATCAGGAATGTATGTTGGATTTTATCAAGTGCCTTTTCTGCATCCATTGATATGATCATGTGATTATTTTTCTTATATGATAGATTATGTTGATTTTTTTTCCCAATGTAGAACCATCCTTGCATACCTGATATGAATCTCAATTGGTCATGATGTATTATTTTTTTGATATGTTGTTGAAGTCTGTTGGCTAGGATTTTGTTGAAGATTTTTGCATCTATATTCATGAGGAATATTGGTCTATAGTTTTCTTTTCTAGTAGTGTCTTTGCCTGGTTTTGGTATCAGGGTTATCCTTGTTTCATGAAATGAATTTGGGAGGATTCCATCCTTTTCTATGTTCTGGAATAGTTTGAGTAGGCTTGGGGTCAGTTCTCTGAATATTCAGTAGAATTCACTGTGAAACTTCTGGTCCAGGACTTTTATTTGTTGGTAATTTTTTTTTTTTTTTTTTAATGACCAGTTCAATTATTTTATTATGGGTCTGTTTAAGTTTTCTTCCTCAATCTGTATTAGTTTAGGTAAATAGTGTGTTTCTAGAAATCTGTGCATTTCTTCTAGCCTTTCAAATTTGTTGTTTTTCATAATATCCTGATAGTATTCTTTTTATTTCTGTTGGTTCTGTTGTGACATCACCCATTTCATTTCTTATTCATATTTGCATTTTTTCCTTTTCCTTTGTTAAGTTTGTCAGTGGTCTGTTGATTTTATTAATTTTTCAAAGAACCAACTTCTAGTCTTGTTGATATTTTTCTGTTGTCTATTTTCTGTTTCATTTATTCTCAAATCTTTATTATTATGTTTATTCTGGTGACTGTAGGCTAATCTTGCTGCTTTTTTTCTAATAGTTGGAGATGTTGGGTTAAGGTGTTGATTTTAGCTCTTTTTTTTTTTTTTTTGACATGTGCATATATTGCTATAATTTGCCCTCTGATCACTTCTTTTTCTGTGTCAAAAAGATTTGGGTATGTTGTGTTTTCATTTTCATTCCAGACATTTTTTTAATTTCATTTTTTTTTAAATTCTATTACCCAGTCATTTTTGAGGAGGGTTTTATTCAGTTTCCATGC